CCCCTTTGCATTAAGATCTGCTTCGTAGTGAACTGGAGATTTACCACGATCCTTCCTTTTTTGGAATCTGATATGCAGGCTCTGTGCCTTCTGAATGACGTTCTCAGTAGGTGATTGGTGTGGTACTGGAGCTGAAGAATTCTCCGGAGCGGGCAAAATCTCATAAGATGGTTCAATTTCCTCCTCCTGATTTTGACAGCGTGGAGAAAACTGATCGTTTTCCTGTGGTGACTGGTTGCTGGATTTTGGCAGTCTATCGGTTTGAAACAGCTTCTCTGACTACCAGTCGCTTTCCACTGGCGACTGGTAGTTTTGAAGTAGATTCTCCGTGTTCGAAGAACTAAGGGGGGGCCGGTCGCTTTCCACTGGTGACAGACCGTTTATTTGAGGAATTTGATGTATGAATTTGATGTAGGAATTGGATTTGGATTCGGATTCAGGTTGGAAGGTTGGGATTCGGATTCGGATTTGGATATGGATTTGGATTCAGATTTAGATTCAGGTTGGAAGGTTGGGATTCGATGGTTTGGGAAACGATATCCATGGCAGCGGAAGGATTTAAGAATAAGATAAAAAAGATGTGTTTAGGGTTTCGGGATAAGATTCAGATTTGGATTCGGATTCAGGTTGGAAGGTTGGGATTCGGATTCGGATTTGGATATGGATTTGGATTCAGATTTAGATTCAGGTTGGAAGGTTGGGATTCGATGGTTTGGGAAACGATATCCATGGCAGCGGAAGGATTTAAGAATAAGATAAAAAAGATGTGTTTAGGGTTTCGGGATAAGAGTATATGAGGATTCGGGTATGAAGATCTGAATCTGAAACTGGAAATATGAGGAATAAGATATGAGGGATGTGATTTTGGGTTTGTGGTTCAAGAAAATTCGATACGATACGAGGAATACGATATGAGGAATGTAAAGAACACAGAAACCCTGTGAACACGGCTAAGAACACAGAAACTTCTCTTCAATCCTCTTCTCCCCCTGAAGAGAAGGGTGTGTCGGAGTCAAGAAAGAGACAAAATCTCCATGTGAAAGAGAAACAGATCCTTTTTACTCCCCCTCCCCCCCTTGAAGAGGAGGGGAGGAGAAATTTTGATATGAGAATTTAGAGACAACTGATCGGTTCATAATTGTATATCATTTTGTACCCTTCTAGCTTATGATTTGGTTATGTTATTGAGTTAAACTTGTGCTTTTAATT